TGTTATCTGTTTCCAGATGTTCTTTTTTGTAGTGTTCGCATTAAGCTCGACCACTTAATGATTCAATCAGAATTTAAGATTATTATTTGTTTATTATGAATTTTGTACAACATAATCGTTATGGTTTACACAATTGCTGAAAGGGTAGAAATAGTAACTCTTCATTTCAGAAATCGCGAGAATGCTTATCTTACTGCAAATTTATTTAATCAACGCTATCCAAACAAATATTGTAATGCAAANATTTTTTATATATATTTCAATAATAAATAGGATTAAGTAAGGAAAAGTAGGCTTATTTTGTTACTTTAGAATAGACATTGCACTGAATGTTGAATATTTTATTCACATATAAGATCTGCTTTTGTTTCTTTAAATAAATTTAAAATATTTTAAAGAAAAAAAAATGCTATTAAATTACAGGCATGTCAAAATTTGATTCTGAATAAAATGTACAGTGATGTTATGCAAATACTACAAATGAAAATATTTGACTTAGTAATATATTTGAATATTATTAAAATTTATATTATTGCAGAATAATTATGATTAATTTGTTTTTAAATTAATTTAATATAAATATATTTCAGGGCATCTTCTGATGAAATGAAATATCGTGCTACCAGCTCTGCTAATTTACTACCAAATAATGAAAATAGAGATGTAGAAACTGGCATTAAAACTACTCAGTCAGGAGTATAATACTAATTTTCAAGCTAAATATTTATTTTAAATGCTTTGTATTGATGTTGTATGAAAGTTTATTCTAAATATAAATATTTGTGTATGCAAGTATTAAATTTTATACTTTTAAAAATGTTCATTGTTTTTAAGGTTTGTTTTGAATTTTCTTGTAATATAATTTCCAAATAATTTGAAATTTATGATAAATCTTTAAAAATATCAGATATTTAAACACTATTTTAATTTTTAAATTTATTCGAAGATTAAAATAGACTAATTTTTAAAAATTATAACTTAACATTATGATTGCTGATTATCATTTGTTTTTCTGGTTAAAATATAATTATTAATAACATGACTATTTGCTTAATGTCTTGACATTTCTTATTTTGAGATATATTATGATAAATTATTTAGTAAATGGATAAAAAATAAACTCAGTTATGTTTTTAATTTATTTAAAGGTAAATTTTAAGTATTTATCATAAAAACATGCTGTCAATAATATCAATAACAAACTTCAGCATTCAAGATCATTGTGGAAATTGGCATTCCCAAAGTATCTGTATATTTTCTAATTTGTGTAAAATAAAATATTGATTTCAAATTTAAGATATACAAATTATATAAAAATATCTTTAGGAAGTAATAATAATTTTTTTTATCTTTATTTTAAAAATTATTTAAATTACATTCCTTACTATCCTAAATTAATGCAACATAATAACTAGCAATTTTTTTTTCTATATTGGAATATGTTGAATTAGAGAAGTAACTTATTTTTGATATTAATAACACCACTAAAACCTATATTACAGCTGTTTTTATAAAAAATGCAAACATTTTCACCTGTGTTAAATAGGCGTCATCAGGCAAACTGATCCCCAACTGCTGAAATGACGGGGGATTGCCAAACACGTGTGCAGAGAGGGGAGGTGACATAAGACAAGAGAAAAGGGGAAGATAGTAAGATTTATAGTTCAAAGTAAAGACTTCCATGCTGTGGGAAAGGAGTCAACATTGCAAAAATTAATAACGGTGTTATTGTGGGTGGCCTTATATATTTCCATGTTATATAAATCTTATTATCCTCTCCTTTCTCTCATCTTACTTCACCTCCCCTCTGCACATATGTTCGGCAATCCCCCGTCGTTTCAGCAGTTGTGGATCAATTTGTTGTTGATGCCCATTCATCACTGGTGAAAACATTTGCATTATTTAATAAAAACAACTGGAATATAGGTTTTAGTGTTATTAATTCAAATATAACCAGTTTTAAGTGGCAGTATTTTAGTTCTGATATTTTAAACTTCTAAATTATGTAGGAGTTGGTTCAAAAGTTTCAGTTAACGGGTTCTGTGGCTAACAAAAGATGCGACCCAGGACGTAAACGTCCAGTAAGAAATGAATCTACGGAGATGTGGTGCTCAATTCGAACATGTATTGAATACTTGATAACTTTTTCTTATGTTACTTTATTTGAAATAAATGTTTGTTTAGTTAATAAAAANAACGTCCAGTAAGAAATGAATCTACGGAGATGTGGTGCTCAATTCGAACATGTATTGAATACTTGATAACTTTTTCTTATGTTACTTTATTTGAAATAAATGTTTGTTTAGTTAATAAAAAATGAACGAGTTTTTAAAATTTTTGTTGCCTGTTGTATTCAGAATCGCAAAAACTTTATTGTTGAAGATATCCCCCTTGAGAATAAAATTGATCTGTCCGAGCTATTTGCTTGGACGAACACGATAACTCTGCCGTTTCGTTTTCGTTGGCCCACCCTGTATATTGAAGCATTATCTTATCATATCCACTTTTTTGTAATCAAACTGGTGCTTGATCCATGAGAAAGACACGATGGTCAGATAAGTACATCTGGAGGAATATTGCTGCTATACTTCTGAATGATAACCTTAACTTTGAGGCCTCTCATTAAAGTGACATCTTTTAAAATCATAATACTTCCTTCATTTTGCTTATGCTTCATACATTGTTGGATGCATTGCAATCATATCTGAGCAAACATCAATATAAGTTGTTGATGACAGTAGTTTTTTTTATTGCTTTTGTAATCAAAATTTTGGTTATTGCTATCATTGTCTTCAAACAGGCAATTTTAAGTTGTCTTTCATATTATCAGTCAACTATTATCAGTCAAGGTCTATAATGTGGAAAAGAGGCAATGGATATTTGTTATTAGTCCTAACAAATGCTTTAAATATTAATCATGTTAATCATTATTTATTCACAGCACAGTACAATTTTAAATTGCTGGAATTTCTCACTCCAATTATATGCTGAATGAATTATATGTTAATAAATCTTTCAATGTTAGAAATTGTCAAGCCAATTTTCACAAAATGTAATCATCTTTATTTTCACCACTTAATGGTATCAATCAATTATTATTATTAGTAAGGATGCACCGATAAGCAAAATGGCTGTTTACCGATTAATCGGCCATGCATTATCAGCCGATACCGATTAATCGGCCGATTAGTGTTAATAATTTATTGCATTAATAGTGTGAGATCCTGGAGTTAATTATAGTTAATTATAATGAGGAAAAAAACCCATTTTTCTCCACCTGGTATTTCCATCTCCCTGGAGTCAGGTAAACAAGAGACAATTGAATATCCTCGCAAAATCAACAATCTCTTCCTTTGTTTCTAAAATAAATCTCAACACTTAATTGTTGACGCATGGAAACTTCAACATTGTTTAAAAAGTTGAAGTCTTTGTGTTTAACAGAAACAAAGTATATTTCTTTAACTGCTGATATTTGGACAGCAACTACAAACAATTCTTTTTTTTTAAGTGTAACAGCCCACTGATTGAATGATGATTTTCAGCAAAAAAGAGATGTTTTGCAAATTGTTTCCTTTGAAGGTTCCCACACAGCTACACGAATCAGTGAACAGTTAAAAATTGTTCTTGAACAGTATAAGTTGACAAGTGATAAGATATTCTTAGTACTAAGAGATTCTGCAGCAAATCTGGTAGCTGGAATTAGGAATTGCAACTTAGAAGCATTATCATGCTTTATACATATGCTGCAGCTGACACTAAACGAATGCATATTTTCTGAACAAGATGTGAAAACTATAATCACAGTTAATAGAAATATTATCACACATTTTAATCATTCTGCTGTAGCTGTAATCAAATTGGAAAATTTGCAAGAAAAGTTAGGTTTGCAGAAACACAAATTAATTCAAGATGTTACTACTCACTGGAATTCTACATACTATATGTTGGAACAGCAAAAGGCCCTTGTCACATATGCTATAGATAATAAAATTCCTATGTTGAGCCCATATCAGTGGGCTCTCGTTGAAAAAATTGTTTTGTAAAACCATTCAAAGAAATTACTGTGGAAAGCCAGCAAATGAGAAGCCACTTCATCTTCAATAATTACCACAATAGAGACTCTGAAATTACTCTTATCAAAAGCAAAGGTCAGTAGTTTCTTTAGTGGCATTAATAACAACAGAAGAACTAGAAAATCCAATAAAAAATTTTCAGCATATATAGAAAACAAGTCTTTATGCTTGTAATTTTTATTAGATTCAAAATGAAATTTCAAAAACAGGATATGGTAGAGGAAATCTCAATAAGAATTAAATTCTGAAGCTTCTACTTCTGGAGGTGATCAAGATGGAGGTGAATCTCTAAGTTTTTCTGATTTATTTGATGAATTAGCTTCTGGTAAACAAAAGAATGAAGAATAGCATGTTTTTAAAAAGAAAGAAAAAAAAACGAAAGAGACGAACAAACGTTTCGATCAAGAATTAGAAACATATTTACATTTACTTCTTAAACAAGAACATAATGACATATTTTTGTGGTGGAAAAGTTCAGAAGAACTTTTTCCTAATTTGAGCAAAATAGTTATGAAATATTTAAGTGCCCCAGCATCTTCCATTGAAAGTGAAAAAATTTTCAGCACTGGAGGTAACATTTATGAGCCGGCAAAAAATAGGTTATGCCCTGAAAATGATGAAATTCTCATGNGTGTTGAATTTTCGTCGATGTTAAGCCTAACAAAGACTATTGTATCGTTAAAAATTATTTTTTTATTTTGTACAAACAAAATAAATATATTGAAAAATATAAAAACAATAAAAAATTATACTTCAGAAGTTAATTTAGTATCAAAAACATAAAATATTTGAGTAGCCCAAGACATAGCCAAAGATTGCAGCGTCACAGCACTGGCGAAAATTTAAATTTGCCAACTGGAATTCTTTCGGATAATTGACGCTCTACTGTAATTCCTTAATTTTATATAAAAAAAAAAATTATAAAAATGTAATACTGATTTTTATTGTGACTTTTAATAGCTAATTTTTAACAAACATTTATATAATCGGCAAAGCAATTTTTGTAAAAATTGCAGCAAAAATAATTAAATATTCTTACACATTTTTCTTATTTTTTTAAATCTATATAAAAATTATTTATATATAATTCAATAATAAAAATATATTCAAGAGGCACAATTGGAAGACTGCATATTATATTTATAAGCTATTAAAAATGTTTCCATAAAAATTGCTGCAATGCTCTGGATGATGACAGACTAATTCCTATTAAAATAACAACATAACTTAGCATCAGAATAGTGAAACGATACTTCCACCACCATTTAGGAACTCTAATCCTAAATAATAATATAAACAAAACAATATGAATTTAAATTAACTATATATTTACTAAAAAAATGATATTTAAATGAAAAAAGTCTTGCCTGTTTTCACTCCTAGAACTGTTACTATATACAAGAAGATAACGTATGCGTACCAGGTCATTATTCTGTACAAGATAATATTTATCAGGAATGTCACCTGCTAGACTATCTGGTGAAGATTGTTGACAATTTCCATATGTTCCTAAAATTAAAAGTAATTGCAAAAATTTTATTATAATTGTAAAATAAATTCATTCTTTATTTAAATTTTTTAACATTTTTTATTACTAGCTGATGTACCAAGTGATGCTCAAGTTACCTTAAGAAAACATCAAATAACTTTGGGTTCAAAAACTACATGTGCTTTTGTTACTTGATGACTATACTGTACATTGGACATTTGTTTTTGTTTTGGGGGTCAACAAATTTCATTGCTTTTCTTTTGATCCATTTTTAATAAAACAAATTTTGTTTTATTTATGTATTTTTGTATAGAATTGTTCCATCATATTATTGCAGAAATAATTGCAGAGGTTTAAAAAATTTCTCAAACAACAAAGAAAATAATTCTTAGTAGATCAATCTGTAACAAAGCAATTTAAAGTGATATATTTTGAAAGCCAATAATTATACTTTAAAGAAACAGTAAAAGTTTGTGAGAAATAATATGATTTTTTAAACCATTTTTCAAACTAACAAGGATTTCCTCTAACTCACCAAAACTTGTCTATAAAATAACAATCATATTAATGATTTAAATACTAAACATTAATACTTAATATAAATCTTTTATTAAATGAAAAAATAAATTTGTGAAAAACTAAATATATAGTTTATATAACATATAAACTAAAATTTTTATTAAACCTAAAAAAATCCCACTTCTTTCTAAGCATTTCTGTGAAAACTGCATCATCTTACTGTAAATAGTTTGTGAGTTATTAATTTTTAAAAATTTCTGTGACTTTTGAATCACCCAGTACTTATTTTTTTCTATTAAAATTACTTATTTAGTATTATTCAATAATAAATTACAATTTTTAATGTAAATATATATATTTACCAACCTTTACCCTTGCATTTAACATCTGGATGATCAATTATTTCACAAAGTGCTACACAACTTAACTGTGATCCAAATATACTATGTCTCCAACTATTACCCATTGGACTGTAAATGAGAGAAACACTAAGTTCACTGGATAAATAAGTTCCCTTTCCATATAATCCATTCTGTCCAATAAAAATATTAAATTTTACACAAAACAACATACATATTTTATTGAAAAACAATTGTTTACATCTTATATATATTATTTATATTAACACTAAAACCTATAATTCAGCTGTTTTTTATAAAAAAGTGCAAATGTTTTTGCCCATGTTGAACGGGCATCATCAGGCAAACTGATCCCAACTGCTGAAACAATAGGATTGTTGAACACAAGTGCAGAGGGGAGCTGACATAAGACAAGAGAAGGGAAGGATAGTAAAATTTATAGTTAAAAAAAAAAAAAGACCTCCATGCTGTGGGAAAGGAGTTAACATCACGAAAATTAATAGCAGTGTTATTGTGGGTGGTCTTATATATATTGTTATATTTAAACATTTGCACTTTTTATAAAAAAGCAACTGGATTATAGGTTTCAGTGTTATTAATTCAAATATAACCAGTTTTAAGTGGCAGTATTTTATACTATTTATATATATAAATTCCTCCACTAACCTGATTACTTTAATAAAAACTAGACAATCTGCTTTCCATAAAAATTGCTGCAATGCTCTGGATGATGACAGACTAATTCCTATTAAAATAACAACATAACTTAGCATCAGAATAGTGAAACGATACTTCCACCACCATTTAGGAACTCTAATCCTAAATAATAATATAAACAAAACAATATGAATTTAAATTAACTATATATTTACTAAAAAAATGATATTTAAATGAAAAAAGTCTTGCCTGTTTTCACTCCTAGAACTGTTACTATATACAAGAAGATAACGTATGCGTACCAGGTCATTATTCTGTACAAGATAATATTTATCAGGAATGTCACCTGCTAGACTATCTGGTGAAGATTGTTGACAATTTCCATATGTTCCTAAAATTAAAAGTAATTGCAAAAATTTTATTATAATTGTAAAATAAATTCATTCTTTATTTAAATTTTTTAACATTTTTTATTACTAGCTGATGTACCAAGTGATGCTCAAGTTACCTTAAGAAAACATCAAATAACTTTGGGTTCAAAAACTACATGTGCTTTTGTTACTTGATGACTATACTGTACATTGGACATTTGTTTTTGTTTTGGGGGTCAACAAATTTCATTGCTTTTCTTTTGATCCATTTTTAATAAAACAAATTTTGTTTTATTTATGTATTTTTGTATAGAATTGTTCCATCATATTATTGCAGAAATAATTGCAGAGGTTTAAAAAATTTCTCAAACAACAAAGAAAATAATTCTTAGTAGATCAATCTGTAACAAAGCAATTTAAAGTGATATATTTTGAAAGCCAATAATTATACTTTAAAGAAACAGTAAAAGTTTGTGAGAAATAATATGATTTTTTAAACCATTTTTCAAACTAACAAGGATTTCCTCTAACTCACCAAAACTTGTCTATAAAATAACAATCATATTAATGATTTAAATACTAAACATTAATACTTAATATAAATCTTTTATTAAATGAAAAAATAAATTTGTGAAAAACTAAATATATAGTTTATATAACATATAAACTAAAATTTTTATTAAACCTAAAAAAATCCCACTTCTTTCTAAGCATTTCTGTGAAAACTGCATCATCTTACTGTAAATAGTTTGTGAGTTATTAATTTTTAAAAATTTCTGTGACTTTTGAATCACCCAGTACTTATTTTTTTCTATTAAAATTACTTATTTAGTATTATTCAATAATAAATTACAATTTTTAATGTAAATATATATATTTACCAACCTTTACCCTTGCATTTAACATCTGGATGATCAATTATTTCACAAAGTGCTACACAACTTAACTGTGATCCAAATATACTATGTCTCCAACTATTACCCATTGGACTGTAAATGAGAGAAACACTAAGTTCACTGGATAAATAAGTTCCCTTTCCATATAATCCATTCTGTCCAATAAAAATATTAAATTTTACACAAAACAACATACATATTTTATTGAAAAACAATTGTTTACATCTTATATATATTATTTATATTAACACTAAAACCTATAATTCAGCTGTTTTTTATAAAAAAGTGCAAATGTTTTTGCCCATGTTGAACGGGCATCATCAGGCAAACTGATCCCAACTGCTGAAACAATAGGATTGTTGAACACAAGTGCAGAGGGGAGCTGACATAAGACAAGAGAAGGGAAGGATAGTAAAATTTATAGTTAAAAAAAAAAAAAGACCTCCATGCTGTGGGAAAGGAGTTAACATCACGAAAATTAATAGCAGTGTTATTGTGGGTGGTCTTATATATATTGTTATATTTAAACATTTGCACTTTTTATAAAAAAGCAACTGGATTATAGGTTTCAGTGTTATTAATTCAAATATAACCAGTTTTAAGTGGCAGTATTTTATACTATTTATATATATAAATTCCTCCACTAACCTGATTACTTTAATAAAAACTAGACAATCTGCTGAATTATTGGCTATAATAAAATAATAATAATAATAACTTAATTAACTTAGTCTTATTATAGCCTGATAATTCAGATCATCTGGTTTTATCTTATAGGAATAAATTAAATAAAACATACTTAAGAAGAAATAACAGTTTACATTTTATTAAGTGATATTTGCTTAATTCATTAACATAATGAAAAATAAATTTTATATAAAAATAAAAGTTCTATTTCATGTTCTTGTAAATTAATAAACATAACAGTAGATTTCCTGCAAGAATTTCAATTTCTAAGTAGCAAAAATAATAAATCTTAAAACATCAAAATTAACTCACTTTATTCAAATGAGCAATTAAACCATTATTCAAAATAGAATGAAAATTTTGTAAGCTAGAACCATGAAATGCAAAAAATGTCTTTTTTCCTATACAGTTTTGCTGAAACTGTTGAGCTCCAAGCTTGCAATTAACTTTAAATATATGACTTGGGGAAGGAGTTAATGATGACTGACCAGTTATTTTCTGAATAGTTTCAAACTATAAAAAAATAAATTAAAAATGTAATTAGATATTTTCAATTCTTTTGTAAAGAATTTTTTTCAACATTAAATACAAATTATTATTATTATTATTATTATTATTATTAACCACTTAATGGTTACACACATTATTAGAAGATTAACTGTAACTATCAAAAATAATAATAACAGAAATCCATCAATTTTATGCCAAGCCAGAACATTGAAAGTATTTTATTTTTTTTAAATGTTACTGAAGTGAAACTCAAAAATTATTATATTGATAAATTTAATGGTTAATTACATAATCATTAAAATTTAAAGCTTGTTCTAAGGAAAATTGATTTGAATATGACTACCACAGAAACACGTTTCATCAATAAAAAAAGCAGTTCACATAAGTCTACAGATGTACAGATGTAGAATATTACATTAATCATATGGCAGCAATCAGAACTATCATATCAGAATTAACCAGTCACTTAAACAAGAACAAACATATGTGGATTACAGCCATTAAAAATTACAACTGAAATGAAAACACTGTAAATTCCTATAATATAATCCTAGTAAGATTTTGACACTGGTTAGCCCACAGATTTATATACAAAACAACATATCTTTTATGTAAAAAATAATAGTTGTGCCTCAGATTATAGATCAAGAAGGAGAGTAATTAAATGGCAAACTGAAATATTCAACCATTACAACCATCTGAATAATAGCTATTTGTATAAGCAAAAATTTCCAATCTTTTTGAACTTCAAATTCTGAAATGTTACTGTAATATAATATATTACTTCAAATATGAGCATTAGTAGGAGTTTAAAATTGGAAAAAATAAGTAACAATTTTATTTACTTAAATAGGTACTAATATAAATATAATAAGCTACCTAATTTAATGAAAATCTTCAGATATACTTTCAATATTTTCACTTTCAGAATTTGAATTCTCATCTTCACTATTCCAGAGCACATCATCTTCAGTGCCATTTAAATCATTAGTAATGCAACATTTTAAAAAAGATTTTTTGATAATTTCTTTAGGGATATCTTTTCAAGACTGCAAAACCCACTGAACTATTGTAGAAGATGATGCTTGTTTTATTTTACCAGTTGGTGTCAAAGAATGATCTTCTCAATTTAATTAATCATGCTTCATAATGGGTTCTCATTCTATCTTTAATGGGTTTGATAACAGACAAATCAAGTTGACTAATCATACCTGCTGATAATATTACCAGATCACAGTTTTTTGTTTTTACTTTAAGTTTAATGTCACTAGTTAAATGTCCCTGAAATACATCCATTACTAGCATGCTTTGTATTTTAAAAGAGCACCAGGTCTCTTCTCCCAAACATTTTCTAACCAATCTTTCATCAATTCTGTTGTCATCCATGCATTCTTTTGTATTCAAATTATAATGCCCTTAGGAAAATTCTCCTTGGATAGTTTTTCTGTTATGTTATTTTAAGGTGACAATTTGTTTCCATTGGCAGTTATAGACAGCATTACAGTAATTTGTGACTTTTTGTATCCAGTACTTAAATTTTAATTTGTTTTTCTCTTTTACTGTATAATTTCTTGTTACTGTACTTCATCAAGATTGTAAAAACACTGAAAATCTAAGATAACAAATTCAAAGTGTACTAATATTGTAAGTATCTCTGCATAGCTACTTTTACTAAAACTGTTTTTTTGTTTATGTCAATAACAGGTTGACACGAAACTTTTTGCATAATAATTGTATAAATTTGCTAACCTGTTAACTGTTCTGATATTTTAAACTTCTAAATTATGTACAACCCCCTGCAACAGGGATAATTTCCTTTTTTGAAAATAAAGACTGATTGATTGGTAATATTTGCTTTGAATTTAAGCCGCAAACCTAATTTTGTCTTAAACACAGTCGATCCCCCTATAACACGGTAGATACATTCCTGTTTTTATGAATTCAGCTTCTAGGAGTCCAGCCAACCACAGCCCGGCACATATGTAGTTTATGGACTATGGCTGTTTGAAAGGTTTTCTTCCATAAAATTAATCGATTCTAGACTAATTCGACTCAACATTTCCAAAATACGTATAATTTTTTGGGAATAATCCATATAAACTATGCTATAAACAAAAAAATTGTAGGATTACTTACCGAGTGTGACCACTGTCATTGAATGGCGCTCGCGTGCTTCCTGATAAATTATTTTTTTTGCGAAAAATTTGCTGAAGTTTAGAGACATCATTAATATAAATATAATTTTTATGGATGTTAAATAATAAATGGTTTTTGGTAGGTCCGCTGCTCGTTTAAACTCAACGGTTTGTGCAATCCTGTTGCGACACAAGCCGGCAATGACGTTTTACCAAATTATAGGAGTTTTTTAGCATGTTTGTACGAATACTGTCACAATGTTTTCGCCATGATATAGGAATCTGAACTATAGGAACCCGTGTTATAGGGGGGTCGACTGTATTGGAATAAAAAGTGCAGCTTAAATTTGAAGTAATAAGGTAATTTAAAAAAAACATTCTGGAAAATTTAAATAATAATAACAACAAATACCTCTTGCTTTGGCATCGACTGCAAAATGACTGAGTCAGATAACAACACCCAATGCAATAATTTAACTGAGGCTGCAGACATATCTTTTAAACAGAAATCATCTTTAAGAAATAACTGGAATGGAATTACATCCTCAATTGTCAGTCTCTAAAAAAAAAATAAAATAAAATTTAAAATATTTTTATATACAATATCTATTTTAATAAATATAAATTATTTTTAAAAACATTTAATTTTCAAATATAAAATTTTTTCTTCACAGCTTGAAAATAACTTTGAAAATAAATTTTTTGGTAAATTTTATAAATTGTTAGAGTTAATAAGTTATATGACATTTCACAGGATAATATATTTATTTTGAGGAATTTTGTTTTAAGTCCAATGAAAATTTTTCCAAATATCAAAATTTCTAAGCAGTTTTGTAAATTTATTATAATAAACATTAAATTTATTTCTGTAATTATAATAAAATTATATCTATCTCAAAATAATTTGTTTTTAACACTACTCCAATGAAGATATTTAATATTAAAACAATTCTTAATACAATTCCTAGTTTCTGAAGCACATCATCAGGGATGAAAAATACCATAAACATTCATAATTTTGAATTTTTTTTATGCTTGAAAGGACAGTTTTTTGTCTTTTCATTCATAATGATGAGCCTCAGAAACTTAAAAATACTTGGAACTGCATTAAGGAATGTTTTTGTATTAATTATCTCCATTAAAATATTTGTGTCTTTATGATTTTAATATTTATCTTTAATTTTTGTATTGGACAGATTATAGTGGTGAAAATAACTGAGGTGAAGACATTCAAGTAGATGAATAGTATAATAAGAAAAATTAGAAAGGTGAAAGAGAGAAATCTTAGGGGTAATTATTAAGACAGATATGTCAGTTAGAGATATATGAGTATGAATAGTATAGGTTGTAGAGTTTAGAACAGTAAAAAACAATCTCATTTAAAAGGTTAAAGAATTATTATTATTATTATTATGCCAATTGCCTTATATGTATTAATAAAATTTAATTGAAAAATTAATATGGGAAATCCTTGTTAGCTCAAAATAATCACAACTTCAAATATCCAAGATTTACATACTTCATATTTCTATACAATATGCAAAATGTCATGTAATTGATGTAATTTATTAGGCAAACAAAATATGGCTACGTATACATAATGCTATTTTCAATAATTAATAATAATAATAATAAACATAAACTGTAGATAAACAGCACATATGCAATGAGAACCTCACAACACAGGTTGCCATATAGGTTTTTATATAAAGTTAAATAGAGTTCCTCGAAATGTAGCCCAAAAAGTATTAAGTCAACCAACTCTAGTAGCCTAGAGCCCTACAAACATCTCAATTTTGCTGCTCATAGCCCAATCTTGCAATCCCAAAAACCAGCCACATTTTATGAGATAAGAAATAAAAGGGTAGTCCATGAGTGAGATGACACCTGAAAATGTGTTATTGTAAAAGCAAAGTTATATCAACCAGATTACAGTTGTTCTTGATGTATTGTTTTCTTATAGTATAGAGGCACTTCAATCTAAACAAAAAAGTTAAAATAAGCATATAACAGTTTGGACAGAATTTTCACTTCAAATTTCATAATAGTCATATTTGAACTAATTGAATTTCTTAATGTAAATCTCTATCATTGGCTGGGACAAAAATAGTTATGAAATAGTGGGATTTCATCAAACTATTCAAGTTCAAATTAATGAGGATTTCCTGTATGATAAAAAAATATGTTGTTTGTATGCCTGAATGTATATCTTTTTAGTTATCTATTTTCTATAATTGTTGTGTCTAGGAACAACACCAAAGTAAATAATTATATTTTCAAGCAACAGTAAGTAACATTATTTTTAAATGTTTTTATTTAACTTGCTTTGTATCTTTATTATATGTCTCTTTAATCCGAATAAGATTGCTTTGTATCATTTCCTCAAATTTCATTCATTTCTAATTAAGACAGAAGGTTAAACTTTGAAGACATACCCAATGAATTTTAATTTTTAGGGGATGACGCCACCTCCATTCTACCGTCCTCCCCACTCCAAAATCCAATAAACATAACCGAATGTAGAATTTAATCATGTACTTGCATGCACATAAATGCATTCCAATGATGTATATTGTGGAGGTGGGACCACTCTACCATCCCCTATATGCAAGTCTCAAAAAAAAAAAAAAAAAAAGACCAATTAGTGTTTTTTAAAAAAATTTATTAATAATAAATTATTATCAATAAAGTCTTGTTTTCTTAAATTTGAATCTTTCTTCATTTAAAAAAATGAAAATGTTTTCACTACTTTCATTAAAGTTTTAGGTTATTTAGTTCCTAATATATTACAAATTCCAACATAATATTTGAACATAAACTACATTTTTTGTATGTTACTAGAAGAGTTGTAGATATACATCTATTCAACAGTTCAGTTATTTGATTTTATTGAGACATGTTGTATCTTTCATTCTAAAACTGCATAATATAATAGTTTTATTACATTCTCCTCTTAATAATAATAATAATAATAACTCTCCCGTGGTCACCACCTGGTCGTGGTGGGAGAGCCCAGTAATTTTACTGAACCATAGAGCAATGCAGGCTGGAGCACAAGCTCCTGGCAGGGACACCCATGCCAGTAAGGTCTATGGGGAGAAATGAAGCTAAGAGTGACCACACACCCACATTCTGTGGAGATAATCATTATGGTAGTAACCAGATCTAAGTATGATACCGGCTCGGACGTCGCCCGGGTTAACAAGGTCCGCGTTCGTGGGTTAGGCAGAGGCTCACGTTCGAAAAATAGGCTCCAGTCTCCCTTGGTTACCGGTGGCGAAAGCAGCGCCGGCCCAAGCATGGCTACTGCAATGCCCTCAACAGATGTGAGGAATCAACCTAGCCTTGGTGTTTCTGTGGCAATGCATCCACAGACCACAAAGGCTGGAAAACCACGCCAACGGATGAAATGGACAACAGAAATGAACGAGTTTATCATCCGCACTTACTACACCATCACAAGACTCGAAACAAACATGACAGCATACAGACAACAACTACACCACATATTCACACAACAATATCCTCACCTCACTGTCACCGAACAAAGGGTTGTTGATCAAAAACGAACAATTATACACAACAACCTTATCCCACAAACAACACTTGAACTTATCAAACAACAGGTTGCTGATCAAATACATCAACAGACAGAAACATTTAACATTAATGAAGATCACGTAACCTGTCAGGATAATCCAGCAACAAGCACTGATTACAGCACACACACAACAAGTACCACTAATGATACTGCAGGCACTTCCCCATCCATCACTGATAACGTAGACATAGAATTAGTTAATACGCTCTCACTTATATTTCAGGAAACACTCATTAAATATACTGGTACAGATCCCACACAAAGACCACGAATACCAAAAATCAACACGTCAAAGGCAGTAGGAAAAACACTAGATTATGTAAACACTCACTTACTACCAAACTACATTCATTCAATTTCTACACTCTCAGACATTCATACATTAGTTTATGCTGGGGCAGTCACAGTAGTAACACACCATGGACTGAAAATACACTCACAGACAGACACACACAAAACACAATTCTATCACAAGCCTGCCTGGCAGAGAAGAATAGAAACACAAATAAATGACATTAGACAGCAATTAGGCAGGCTGACACAATACACTAAAAACAACATAACACCCAAATTAAAGAAACAACTCAAAAACATTTTCAAGAAAATCAAAACACACACAAAACATGAACATCACAACACACACATTACAGAATACATCGATACACTAAAACAAAAACTCGCAGCCAAAGCACGTAGACTCAAACGATACAAAACATGTACACTACGAAAACAACAAAATAAATTATTCACAAACAATGAAAAACTTTTCTACAGACAAATCAGTACCAAAACAAACACTGATACACAGCACAGTGGCACACCAACAGAAGAAGAACTCACAACTTATTGGTCATCTCTTTGGTCCAATGCTGTTACACACAATGCTGATGCAGGCTGGATCAAGGAGGAGAACAGAAACTTGCATAACATACCAAGTATGCCCTGTGCTGAAATAAACATACACGACATTCGCTACGCTGTTAACAGAACACACAACTGGAAGACACCTGGTGTAGACAACATTCACAATTTCTGGTACAAAAAGTTTACATCACTGCACCAGGAACTAGCTAAACATCTAACACACATCATCATCAATCCACAAGACATGCCAAAATTTCTTACTCGGGGCATTACCTACATGAAACCTAAAAACAACAAAACCACAGACCCCACACAATACAGACCAATTACATGTCTTCCAACACTCTACAAATTATTGACATCCTGTATCACAAACAAAATATACAAACATGTTGAAGAACACGACATTCTTACAGAACAACAAAAAGGTTGCCGTAGAAATCACAGGGGATGCAAAGAACAGTTACTCATAGATTCAGTCATTCTACGGCAAGCACACAAACAACACAGAAACATACACATGGCATATATAGACTACAGAAAAGCATTCGACAGTGTTCCACACAGTTGGCTGCTACATATTCTACACATGTACAAAATACATCCATCACTCATTGCATTCTTCGAAAACACTATGCAGCACTGGAGAACAACACTACATCTCAGGGTTAGTAACACTTCCATACAAACAAACGAAATATTCATTAGGCGAGGAATTTTTCAAGGAGATTCCTTGAGTCCTCTCTGGTTCTGCCTAGCCCTGAACCCATTATCCAACATGTTAAACAACACGCATTATGGCTACAATATCAGACATGAAAAAACAACACAGTCTACGCTGTCGCATCTCACGTACATGGATGACATAAAACTTTATGCATCCACACAGAAACAACTTCATCAACTCCTACAAATCACGCACTCATACACTAAGGACATACAAATGGAGTTTGGCTTAGACCAGTGGTTCCCAATTAGTGGTACACGTACCCCCGGGGTACGCGAAATTGCATGAAGGGGTACATGTGGCAATCTAAAATCGGCCGATTTTAAATTTAAATGCGAGATGAAACAATCAAAAAAAAATATAATGGTTTGACCATCAAAAATTTGGCAATTTACAACACGATTTGGAATGCACAAATTCGTTTATTTATAACTAAAAACATTCTCGAAATTTCATTGTTAAAAAATGCATTTGTGACAATACCTAAATTCTTACGCAAGAAATAAAAATTGTACAATTATCATTATTATCGTGTCAGTGAAGTAGCAATAAAATATTTACTACCATTTTGCACAACATACCTCTGCGAGAGCGGATTTTCGCCATGACAAACGTGAAAACTAAACATCGTCACAGACTTCAACTCGAAGATGACTCGAGACTAAAGCTGACCAAAAAGCAACCAGATTTCACAAAGTTGTGCAAAAGAAAATCATGCACATTTGTCACGTTAAAATTAAATAACCTTGTTATTTTCGTTATTACTGTATTAGAATTGTATTTTAAAGGTAATAAATGTAAAAAAAACATTCTATTTATCACTTGCTGTCAACCCATGGCTTCGCCCGCATTATATCGAGTTTTCTCATGGGAGTAAGATATTTTCTCGCAGTAAAATGTAGCCTATGTCCATCTCCAACAGCTTACATATCTCTGTGCCAAATTTTATTAAAACCTGTTCAGCAGTTTAGATGTGAAAAGGTGAAGACAGACAGCAATACCTTCGAATTTATAATATTAGTATGGATTAATATGAATTTCTGCTATAAGGGGTACGCGAGTTTGAGCTCTTTCTTGAAGTGGTACGCAGGAAAAACTAATTGGGAACCACTGGCTTAGACAAATGCAAAAAACTTCACATAGAAAAAGGAATCCTGAAGAAAGAAGATTTTGCACTTGGAAATGGAGACGTTATTGAATCCATGGAAGAGGGCGAGTTCTACAAGTATTTAGGATTCCAACAGGCCAAGCTAACAGAACATAAAAGCAAATACAAGCAAAAGCAAATAAAGCAAAGATTAATTAAAGAATACCAAAGTAGGTTAAATGCCATTCTCAAAACACAGCTAAATGCAAAACACACAGTTAAAACAATAAACACATATGTCATCCCAGTACTCACATACTCTTTTGGAGTTATACATTGGACTCACACAATCTCGAGCAACTCCAAAGGAAAACAAGAACACTTACTAAGCATAAACAACATCATCCTAAATCTGCCACAGAAAGATTAACCCTTCCACGTAAAGATGGCGGACGTGGCCTGATTGACATAGTTAACCTTCACTACAAACAAATACAGTCACTGCGAGAGTTTTTCTACAGGAAACAAGAAACATCACAATTGCATAAAGCAGTAACTCTAGCAGACTCAAATAGCACACCATTAAACTTACACTCACATCATACAGACATGACACAACACAAAAAGCATAGACACCATCAAGCAATCGTGGGCTCGAAAGGCACTCCATGGCAGGCATCCTTATGACCTGGCCAGGATTTTGTTGACAAAACTGCGTCAAACAGCTGGTTAGATCGGGGATACCTCTTTGGGGAGACAGAAGGATTCATGATTGCCATACAGGATCAGGTCATAAATACTAAAAACTACAGAAAACACATACTCAAAGATACAACACTCACAAATGACACATGCAGAAAATGTCACATCATGCCAGAAACTATACAACACATCACTTCTGGTTGCAAGCTCTTGGCACAGACATATTATTTACACAGACACAATCAAGTAGCAAATATATTACACCAAGAGCTTGCAAAGAAACACAAACTGGTAGACATTCACGAATCGTACTACAAATACATTCCACAGACATTATTGGAAAACAACACGCACAAAATGTACTATGACAGAGCCATAATCACAGATAAAACAATTTACCACAACAGACCAGACGTCACACTCATTGAAAAACACAATAAAATCACATGCATTATAGACATAGCCATTCCAAACACTCACAATGTACAAAACACATGCACTGAAAAAATTAGCAAGTACACAGAACTCGCCCAGGAAATAAGGCATCTGTGGAGGATGGACAGGGTGCTTATTGTACCTGATTAATGATGCCTCCAAAGTTCAACGAATTTTTTGCAGAAAAATAACTTATCAGAAAACGCGCCAGCCGTTTGGTGCGCTGCTCCGTGACGAAAACAAGCTTAAGCAATGGCGTCGACAAACGGTGCACACTCTAAGTAATCCTACAATTTTTTGTTTATAGCATAGTTTATACGGATTATTCCCAAAAAATTATACGTATTTTGGAAATGTTGAGTCAAATTAGTCTAGAATTGATTAATTTTATGGAAGAAAACCTTTCAAACAGCTGTAGTCCGTAAACTGCATACGTGCCGGGCTGTGATTGACTCATATATTTAAGGATTCCTACAACGTGAAATTCTTATAAAGTGGAATGTATCTACCGCGTTATAGGGGGTCAACTGTACATACTATAAGCTGAGTTTAGTGTATATAGCAGTTACAAAGATCTATGCATGTTTATTAAAGGTTATTTGTATGCTCTCTTCTACACAAATTAATTATTACCATGTTAAGATATTGTATCTCTTCTATGTTTACAGTTTAAAGCCATTAAAGCAATCTCTGACAGCTGTTTTTAATTCTTTAATTATTGTAATGTGGAATTCAGATATTCTCTATTTTACAACAATTCAAATGAATTGTCACATACAGAGTTTTCCAAAATGAATGCTAACATTTTAAAATTACTGTAATTATGTTAATTACATGAGAAGTATTCAATGTACATGAATGGATAGTGTGACTCCAAGTTTCATCTCCCATCGACCTTCAAACAACTTGTTATCTACTACCTCTAGGAAGTACCAAATAATAAAAATGGCAACTCCACAACAGAAGACGTTTTCTGTTATACAGTTTTGAAATCAATCATTATTGTGCAACACTAGTAATCTCCAGGAGCTGTAGGAGGAGTGACAATAGATATGTCACATCAAGCACAGGAAGAATTTGAGTATCAGTCGGACATGTGCTATGCGACATAAGGCGCTCAGAATGAGAAATTGTAATGGGAAAATGTGAAAATTGGACAGTTTTCCAACATTTAAAGTATATTACAACATTCTCAGATAATGATTAACATAATTACAATAATTTAAAACAATAGCATTCTTTTGAAAGATTCTGTATAAACATGGGTAAGATTGCACATGCAAATACCACCACCTGGACCTTAATGGAGCCATAGAGCAAGCCCACAGGAGCAAAAAAATCGAAAAGCCAGCATGGTCACCTGGGCCAAATAGTTAAACACGATGATCTTAGCAGAGCGTACGGCACAACTCCTGATTGCGCCCAGAAGCGAGGGCCACATCTCGCCAAGGGTCACGCACGGAGGTATGGTTCCTTTGACTCTTTCACTCCTACAAACATGATCTACAGCTCGGTTAAGGGTCCCAACAGCGTCATTCACATCTGCAATTGTACCTAAACGTGGATTTCAAGGCCACTTCATACAGGATTCATGTTCATCCATAATCTACCAAACTTGCAGAGCCGGCCCTACCATAGGGCGAACGGAGTAGCCGCTCCAGGCGCCAAGTCTTGGGGGCGCCTCAGTGGTAAAGAAAATTAAAGAGTATAAATTAGGGGCAACCAAGGGGGGCGCCGTAATAGGATCTCGCTCCATCCTAAAACTTGCCTCGGGCCGGCACTGCGAACTTGTCATCAGATATTCTGACTTGTAAATTGAAAACACAAAGTGCACGCACGAAGACTTTGTACTCCGCACATACAATATTTTTATTACATTGAAAAATACTAACCAGTGCTTTTATATCTTTTTCATTATCTGTCTTACGTATGAATTCCGATGGGAAAGGACGAACAGCGGAATCATAACGATAGCTCTTACTTGCAGCAACAAACAAACTCCATCTTAAATCGGATGCATTTATATCCGATTGAATCACATTCTTTGTTTCTTCTATGTATTCTGTCATGGAGTCTTTTCTTCGCACCTTCTTATCGAAAAGAAAACACTTCCTTACATCACCTAACTTGACACCGTGAGATAAAACGCCCTCTTTCGGAAGACTATATTAATAGTAAAATATTTAATTAAAAATTTATTATAAAACACATAATAGATATTGGACGTCCAATTTATTTTTTATTCGTTTATTTTTTATATTAATTTAAATTTTCCCAAAATGACGAAAAGTGAAGTTTGAGCTATTTTCAATCGAAACAGTGCGGTGTACTTCAATCGAAACGAAGTACCGTATGATTGCGACATTTTAGGATTTTATATTTAATTTAAACATCGCCTAACTTTTAGGATAAATTTTAAATAAAATAAAGTGTTTAATCAAGAAAAATACTAACCATCCTAAATTTATGTTTCTTCTTCAGATATAGATATTTCTCTATATTTATCATGGAAAATTGGTTATCCTATCTATCACTGTGACGTGTAAAAATATCTGACCTGTCTGTAATGGGTGTTGGTTGGCAGTATAACCCAAATATGTTGCTACCTCGCATTAAGTAATTAATAAAGAATATCTGGTCGATATAAATTAAGAAACAGCGAATGCCGCGTGTCATAGGCGTTAATGACAACAGCGTATCGGTACCATTTTGGTGGGTCTGGGTTCGAATCCCAGTCGTCTCAGGTATTTTCAGGTGGAGTTGAATGGCTTTGTTCTTCCACTCGACTCCCATGCGAGGCCGAATTTCTAAATCATACTCACGTTGAACACTGCTAAAAATTTTTTCTTAGCGCCCAAAGAGCGGAAATGGTTGATTTAAGACTAACTACTTCTTTTAATAATTAAAATAATTTTTAAAATTATAACAGACATTTTTATAAAAGATTTAAAGAAGAAATCTGTATACAGGTAGATAAAAAGGAATTAATTTTATTTAAAAATATACTGAAAAATTTGTAAGATTGCGCGGACGTAAATATATTTATTAGGAAGATTGAAAGGCTCATTTACTAAAACAGTATAACGTTATACGTATAATTTTATAATCAGTAACGTTGTCGATATATTACATTTTTTTTTTCCGGAAAATTCTCGCGTATTGCAGACATTAAATGCGCACGGAGTCGATCGATTTTTCGTCACCAGTGAAATATCGAACACGGAGTAGACGCTCTGTATAACCCGTCTCAGCGTTATTCTATCTGTATACTGAGCGAAACGTAAGTATTTTCCAATTATTGTTTTATTTTTAATTGTACATTTGGTAAATTTACAAAACGCGTGTAATGTACAGTACCTGAAATTTAATTTCCCCCATTTGGACCATTATAATTGACGAGAATCGCCTAACCTTCGCAACATTATCCTAAATGTTTGATTGAAACAATTATCATTCAAGCATTGTTTTATAAGTGTATAAAAGAATTTTATACTCTTCTCTACATACAAAATATATTTTATTACACATTTCTTTAAATGTGTTAATCACTTTTAAAAATAAATTAATTTATATAATTTTTCTATTTATTATTATTTTTTTTAAGATGCCCTGCACGGAAAACTATGAAAATTCCTCATCGGATCAGCAATTCAACAACTTTCACTATTGGAGGCAACCGATTCCCGAAATATCTTTCCTGGAGTTAGATGAATTAGGACTTCATAACAATGAAGATTATCTGGAAATTGATCCTGCCTTCAACTCTTTCAATTACTGGCGACTTCCCTTGCCTGAAATTGAATTTTCTTTGTGAAATTCTCTCCTCCTTCGTACTTTATGAAATAGGAAAGAGAATTATCAGTCATTTGATCAGTTTATGTATTGTTTTTGATGCAATAAATTATATAGAGCATTATTTTGTTGTTTTTCCCAATCTTACAATAATGAATGAATTTACTTTATATATTATCATAGTTAATAATTTTCAATACAGCCCAATTTTTTTTTTAATACAGCAAAATATTTTATATAATTTTGAATTGTGTTATAATAGTTTATTGTAAAAGTATCAAAATAAAACTTTATTCATTAATTCAAAAATTTTTCTCAATGAATGTGGTTATTATTTAATGACTTTTATCCTTCTGATAAATTTTATTTATATTTATGATTTATAAATATATTTATATAATATTACTATGTTTAATAAATGGATTAAGTAGATAGTCTTTATTTATTTATTTGCTAATAATGAATTATATATTGTATAAATTAATTTAAAAAAAAAATCACTTTTGATAAAATGTTTTTATTTATTTATCTAAACAATAACAATAAATCTATTAAAAGTTAATTTTCATCTGTTTTTGTTTCTTTTTTTTGAGTTTCTAACATTGTCTTTCTATTCCTCCAAGCAGTCATGTAAGTGCGGGGATGAATTGGAAGAAATCCTCCTAGTCCTGCAAGATAAAATTTTCATTATTTATCTGAAAAATACATTTATATTAACATGATTGGATTTTTTTTTTTTGAATTTGAATATTTATGAATAGAGTTAAAAAGCTTTGAAGATGTTATTGCTAATATTTAAATTCTTCAAATAAAGTAATTGCTTATCAGACTGAAATTTTAAAACAACAAATGGCATGTGTCAAGTTTCATTAAGAAAATTTACAGTAAATTATTTAATTCGTGAAGACGACATGCTATACTTTGTCTCAACTAAGCTGATAGTGATGTAGACAACATTACATCAGAAAAATCACTGATTTTACTTTGCTTACCATTGAACACCAATATACTTACAATATAGTTCCATCAAAAAAATTTATTTACAGGAGTCCTTATATTATGAAATTATTCACAATAAGCAATACAATAATACTTGTTTTTAGTTTTCAACTGTAAGTTTTAAAATAAACAAAGTACACAGTAATAAAGATTCAAATCTTGATGGAATGGGAAATTTAATTTTGTTCAAGATTGCCAAATGCGAAGAATTGTTAACCAAGCACAAGAAAAGCAAGTGGTAAAAGACCGATTGTTTTGAATGCTTATAATTTCCGTGTTGCTTATTGTGAATAATTTCATAATATAAGGATTAGATTGCCTCTGTGATGCAATGTTATGAAAACAGTTTCATCTCTGGCAAGCAAAAAGTTGGATTATCCACCATGACAACTATCTAATGCATTATGCTCCTATAGAGGATATTTGACAAAATACCGGATGCCATTTCTTTCACAATCTTCTTATTCACTAAACATTGTTTCTGCAGATTTTCATACTTTTGCCAAAATGAAAACATTACTAAAGATTCAAATCAGCAAGAGGTGAAAAGTGATATGCACTCAAAAACATAAATAATGGGCTGAAAGACTGTTTTAATAAGTGTATAAATATTGGCAGTATGGCATAGGTACAAAAAATCCTTATTTTAAATGTGGTCTTCTGTAAATACTTGTACTAATAACACAACAAAAATTATATTAGAGTCAAAAATAAATCAAACTTTCATCTCACACACATATACAGTGGGTGATCGGTTAACGAACAGTTCGGATAGCAAACACTTTACCGATCAAACAAAAAGAAGTGACGGAAAATAACAAATACTAATTGATTTTCCCTTGTCTTCAGGTAACAACTCAAAACCTTTTGGAGTGTGGGAGATGTCAACATCAACGCTCAACCCGATACCGATCGGATAGTGTTTACCCAAACTTTGAAACTCTCCATTGTAATTCCAGCCTTTTGTTTACTTTTCTAACAAATAATTTTTTTATAGTCTTTGTGAGACTGTTAGGCACTCCATAAGTTTTGCATCAGTTTTTATTTTCTATAGGTGAGAGTTTAACTGTCTTATCGGGTATTCGTTAATGTTTTAACATCAAAATTTTGAATTACATTCAGGCCTCACATTTACATACAGTAATTCTTTCATGCACTACTTGATTTCTGTTCTCTGAATTTTTGTGAGTGCTTTTCTGAACTTTTTATTTCAAACAGAAATTGATAATATTATGGAGCATAAATAGAGCAGAGTGTCAAGAACCATGCTCACCATAGAAACCAAGCAAGAGATAATAGCCAAAGTAGAGTGGGCAGAGAATGTCTGATGTTGCTAGGCAGTATGGCTTGAACAGGTCTACAGTAGGCACAATCTTAGCTAAGAAAGATATAATCAAGAAGACTCAAGAAGCTAAATGAGTAACGAAATCACATCTGAGAAACAAAGATGTTCCATCCATGAAAAAATGGAGAGATTGCTTTTAATTTGGATAAAAGAAAGGGAAATGAAAAAAGATGTAACTAGTATGACTATCATTCAAGAGAAAGCTAGAAAAATTTTTGAAGAANTCAAGAAGACTCAAGAAGCTAAATGAGTAACGAAATCACATCTGAGAAACAAAGATGTTCCATCCATGAAAAAATGGAGAGATTGCTTTTAATTTGGATAAAAGAAAGGGAAATGAAAAAAGATGTAACTAGTATGACTATCATTCAAGAGAAAGCTAGAAAAATTTTTGAAGAATTGAAGAAACAAACTCCACATTCGTCACGAGGAGATAGAATTCAAAGTTTAGAAAGAGAACTGGCATTAAACATGTGGTAAATCACAATGAGTCTGGCTAGTGCAGATAAAGAAGAAGCTGAGAAGTTCTGTCTCAAATTTGAAGAATTCATTAAAAAAGAAGAATACAGTAGAGCATTGATTATCTGAAAGTCAATCATCCGAAAGAATTCCAGTTGGCAAATTTAAATTTTTGCCAGTGTTGTGGAGCTGCAATCTTTGGCTATGTCTTGGGCTACTCAAATATTTTACGTTTTTGATACTAAATTAACTTCTAAAGTATAATTTTTTATTGTTTTTATATTTTTCAATATATTTATTTTGTTTGTACAAAATAAAAAAATAATTTTTAACGATACAATAATCTTCGTTAGGCTTAACATCAATGAAAATTCAATGCGAAGCGACATGCAACGGAGAAAAATGTCAAGATGGGATAAATTAATATATTTTTTCGTACATAATCGGTTATCCGAAACATCGATCTTCCGAGCAACCCCAGTCCCCAATTGATTCGGATAATCCGACGCTCTACTGTATTGTCCACAACAAATTTTCAATTGTGACGAAACTGGTTTATTTTTTAAGTGCATACCAAACTGTACCTACATTATGAAAGAAGAGAAAAAATTCCTGGGCATAAACCCACGAAAGACCGATTGACGTTACTTTTGGGAGCTAATGCTAGCGGTTATATGAAGCTTATCCCGCTTCTTGTCTATCACTCTGAGAACCCTAGAGCATTCAAAAAAAATTCCATAATTAAAGAAAAACTGCCAGTGATGTGGAGATCGAATAAAAGGCATGGGTCATGCAGGCTCTTTTCAAAAAATAACTGTTTGAAGTTTGTGCTCCAAGCATCAAGGATTACCTTCAGACCAATGAATTGCCATTAAAAACACTGTTGCTATTAGACAATGTACTAGGACATCCAAAAGACCTTGAAGATAATTTGCTGGAAGTCTTTCCCTGACTGACAGTTCAGTTTCTACCTCCGAATACCACTTCGTTGATTTAACCAATGGATCAAGAAGTTATTGCAGGTTTCAAGAAATTGTACATTCAAGCACTGTTTCGTTGGTGTTTTGAAGCATGCCAGTTCTCCTCAACGATGACATTAAAAACATTTTGGAAAGAAAAATTTGATTTTCTTGAAGATATACGGCTCATTCAAAAGGCATGGTCAGGAGTCACTCAACGACAGTTGAATTCTGCTTGGTGAAAGCTGTGTCCCTCCTGCATTCAGGGAGAGAGAGATGATGTCCCTGAAATTATGGATGAAATTATGAGAACTGCTAGAGATCTGGAATTGGAAGTGAATAAAGACAACATTGAAGAGCTCATAATGGAATCTGAAACTGATCTGACAACAGAAGAACTCCAAGAAAGTTTAAATGAAGAATACCAAGAAACTCTGCGAGACATGTTTTCTTCTGAAAAAGAGAATTAATGACGATATCTGCTATTAAAGATCTTTTGAAGAAGTGGGAGGATGTCAGAACAACAGTCTTAGAATGGGATCCAAACTAAATTGAGGTTAATAGGCTTGGGGATCTCTGCAATTACAATACTATTAATTACTTCTGAAAAATTCTGAAGAAGAAAGAAAAGCAATTGACACTGGACAGATTCTTTAACCCCTACAAACAGAAAAAACATGACTAATAAAAATGCAAGACTGTGTATATATGTATTTTTATTATTACAATAAATAAATGTAGTAAGAAAGTATATATTTTTATTTTTGGAGTCTCCAAAGCGAATAAATCAAATTCCCATAAAAACCTACGGTAAATCAATAATTGGTTAACGAACAATTCGGATAATGAACAAAGTCTTGAAATGGATTATGTTCCAATCACCCACTGTATATTTTAATTTTTCAATGGGAATAATATTACATTAATAGTGTTTGCTTATTACTAATATTAGTAAAGTCTTTTTGTAATAATATTAAACTTTATTAACACATTATCCAATATTTTAAAACAAAACTCGCAACTATTTGTAGCTTACAAAGTTACAAATAATGCATGCTGTTACTATGGAAATCATGATTCACTGTTAAGAGAAACATTCCTTATTTATAAACAAAAACATAGAATAATTTTAAATAAAGATTGAAGTATGAAGTACAGGTAACTCCCATATAACATGGGAGTTACCTGTACTTCATACTTCAATCTTTATGACTCCCATATAACATGGGAGTTACGTTCCAAAAAATTGCTGTGTTATGTGAATCTGTGTTATATGAAACAAAGAACTAGTGCGAAAAGGGGGTTAGGTTCCAAAAATTAAAAAACATGCTGTTAAATCCTTATTTAAAATCGGATTTATTATTCATTTTTTTCATAGGTAAAATATTTATTATTTAAGTAAATATTTTACCAGAGGATTATTCATCCTATATGATGATCTCAGCATGAGCATCATCAACTGGCAACAGTTTTTGGGTGTGTTCGTTAATAGCAGTTGCTCTGCAATGGGAGTGCACTGCTGTTTGTAGGCATTTAGGAACGACGGTGAAAGAAAGATGGCAGAGCCTGCACTATCGCTAGTATCGTGATGGAGGAATCTATAATTCTAAAATGAGCTTTTAGAGGCAAAAGAAGGGAAACCAATTGTAAAATTTAACCATTAAATGGATTATTTTTTGAAAGAGCATTCAAAGTATCCATGAAAACAATTAGAATGGTCACGCGGAACAATTAGAATGGTTAGCCAGATGTATAAAAGAACGCACCCTTTATTACATTTCATGTTGTACAAGGGTTTTACCCAATTCCCGAACCGTGTTCGAGTGAATCCATGCTATAGAAGTGCCGTGTTATATGGGGGTTACCTGTATGTATGTTTCAATTACTGATGAGAATAAATAGTATATTAATGTTCTTATTTTGATTTGATAATATTTAATGGATATCTATCTAATGCTGACTGGATGGCAAAAGTAGTTAAAGTGTCAGTCCACTATTCTGAGAACCTGGAGTTGAATCTGGATAAGCAACTCTCCTGGAATTTTTTGGGGAGTGATCTGCCCCAAATAAGTTGGATCCCATCCCTCATTATCAGGCTTCTCCATTGCAGATCTGAAAAAAAATCATCTTAGTGTCCATAAAGAGTAAAAAACAGAAAAAAATGGATATTTGATATCATTTCCTGTATCTTTATAACATTTATTAATGTCATTGATAACATTAATGTTATCCATGTCTTAATCTCGGGAATTGTCTCAAATCTTTTTTTCAAGGGAACAAGAAAAAGTCACAAGGAGCAAGGTCAGGTGAGTAGGGGGTGGGAAGAACAGTGATCGTGTGTTTGGCCAAAAACTCATGAGTTCTGAGGGCTGAATGGGCTCGAGCATCGTTGTGATGGAGAAACCAGTCACCACTCCTCCAAATTTCTGGTCTTTTGCAACGGATGGCGTCCCTCAGACGTTTCAGAACTTCAATGTAGTAAGTCTGGTCCACTGTGGAGCCTTGGGGGAGGTACTCATGGTGAACAACACCCTTAGCATCAAAGAAAACTGTCAGCATCACCTTGACATTGAATCGAACTTGGCAAGCTTTTTTGGGTCTGGGGGATGTTTCACTCACCCACTGGGACAATTGGACCTTCATTTCAATGTCATAACTGTAAACCCATGATTCACCACCTGTTATGATCCTTGACAAAAAGTTTTCATCTTTTTCTGAACGATCGAGCAGTTCCTGACAAACCTGGACGTGATTGGCCTTTTGGTCGTCTGTCATCAAGCGTGGCACAAATTTCGCAGCAATGCAGTGCATCTTCAATTTTTTGGTCAAAATTTTGTAACAAGATTCAACTGATATTTCATACTCTTCAGCAAGCTCCCTGATGGTCAGACGTTGATTTGCCCACACCAGGGTGTTGATTTTATTGACGTGTGGGTCAGTTGACATGGAAGGATGTACAGGACGCTCATCGTCTTCAATCGACTGTCGACCACCCTTAACATGTTCATGCCACTTGAAACATGCCTTACGCTTCATAAGCAACATCACTGTAAGCTGTGTTGAGCATAGCAAATGTTTCAGTTGCAGATTTTCCAAGTTTAACACAAAATTTCACAGCAAGTCGTTGCTCCATCAGGTCATTCATTCTGAAATATGACAAATGAAAAAAATCGCACTTCACTAAAAACCATGTAGCTAATCAACAAATAAAGATATCTGTAATCAGGAAACGGTTTTATCACCAGATGATCAGTACAAACCTAGCAACACCAAGTGGATTCCCCTGGAACCAACTGGAGCCACACAATTAAAACAGTCTGTGTATTTTTTGAACAGACCTCATATAGAAAAAATTTATTTTCACTCTCATACAAATTTTAGTATAAAGTAAACAATTTTAAATAAGAAATTTGTTAAAAATTAAAAACAATTACTTGTAGAATAACTTTCACTTTCAAAAAAGTGTAATTACAGTAAAGACAAATTCAGGCAAGAGGGGTGTCCGTTAAAGCAAAAAGTCCATTATGTAATAAAGTAAGTTTTCTGGACATTGACCAATTAGTTAGTTTATCTGTTTTTCTTATGTAGATACATTTGCATAATTAAAATTAAATATGAATAAAAAGTTTAATTTTACAGAAAAGTTCTTTTATATGTATTATTGTTTATTTACTCACCATAGTTCCGAGATTGTAATAAACAAGTGCTGTACATGATCTAAATCAAAAACATTTTTTGATTTAGATCATGTACAGTACTTGTATTACTTAGAACTTTAAATGTATTTAACTAAATTTAACTGAACATAAATAATGTTCTTAAAAAGAAGAAAACATTTAAATTTGACAAAAACAAAATTTCCTATTCATTTGCCTTTGAAGATATTATGAAGACAGTCCTATTGTGGCATGAAGTTAAGAGCAATGACTTTTGAATTTGAAAATAATTTGTTAATTTAATTATATATAAAAAGCATTTAAAAATTAACAGGATGTTAATCTTCATGCTATATGGACTGGAAATTTGTCCATTAAATTGAGGTTTTACTGTATTCTTATAAAATATTGTTAACATCTATATATTACAATTACTTACCTAATAATTCTCTAAGTGGAGTACTAATTTTAGCACCTTGTCCAATCCAATAGTATAATCTTTCCAAATTAATTGCACACAATTTTTCATTCCTTTCATTTGGTAGTGGATCGTAAGTACCAATCTGTTCTTTTATTTCTTCCGAGTTTCTAATTTGAGGAGTGACCGCTATCAGGTAAAAAGGTCTATTTGCACAACCTTCTCGTATTAATTTGATTCCAAGTTTTGTCACAGCAGAACTCATTTTTCAAAAATTCTATTTGAATTTTTATAAATGAGGCAGAATTCTAGAAATATTTAATATTAATAATTAAAATTTTAAAAATAAATTGCATTTATTTAAATTATATATTAAATATATATTTTTTTAAATTTAAATTTGACAATTTGAACTATCACATATACAGTGGTACCTCAGGTTACGAACGCCCCAGCATACGAAATTTTCAGGATACGACATGAAATTCGAACATATTTTTGCTCCACGATACGAACAAAAACTCACCATACGACGTTACATTAGTTCACATTTTTCATTTATTTTTGTTACCACAGTTATATTTTTTAATGTATTACTTGGCTTTAATTTGAGTATGTTTTTCGCGTTGGAACGAATTATTTGGTTTTACATGTAATCGTATTACGATCTCAGTTTCGGAACGGATTAATTTTGTATCCTGAGGTACCACTGTATCGTAAACCATTATCAATATATTTGAAGAAATTAAAAACAAAGGACATTGTTTTTTACATCATTGTATATTACAATTGATCTGATTGCCCTTAAATAATGAAAGTACATTATTAAATAAAATATGCTCATGTTTAATATTTAAAATATTTGAACTAGTATGAAACTATCATAAAATTCCATCAAAAAATTCTTAAACTTCCATGTTATAGAGCAGGGGTTGTCGCGGCTATAATTTGGCTATGGGAGGGCGGTGGATACATCTCTGGCGAGAGGACATCTTTGTTGCATTGGAGCACGAGGTGTGCTTGTCATCCATGAGAGCTCGTGAGACCTTTTGTAATTAACAATAAAGTTGTTATGTTGCTAAAGGCTAAGATTAATTGTGAATACAGAATATTAACATGCAAAAATAACTCAACAGGGGGTCACCAAACCATGGCCCGTGGGCCAGATTCGGCCTCCACTGCACTGTGCCACAAATGAGCTAGAATATATTTATTTACATGGAAATATCATAGATTGTAGATAAATTTACTATGTAAAAAAAAAAAAAAAAATGCCAAAATTGGTCCAATATTATTTTTGCATCTGACAGTAATATACAGTGGGTGATCGGTTAACGAACAAATCGGATAACGAACACTTTCGCGAAATATTTTTATGATCGGACAACGAACACTTCACTGAACAAACCCAAGAAGCGACGTAAAATAACGAATACCGATTGGTCTTCCTTTGTCTTCAGGCAACAATTCGAAACTTTTCGGAGCGCGGGAGACGTCGACATCGACGTTCTACCCAGTATATACTGATCGGATAGTATTCCCCCGAACTTTGAAACTCTCTCTTGTAATTCCAGCCTTTTGTATTTCTGACAGAAACAATTCTTTTACGTTTTCTTCTGAAAATGCGGATTTATGCCGATATCCGCTATTAAAGATCTTTTGAAGAAGCAAGAAGATGTCAGAACAACAGTCTTAAAATGGCATCCAAACCAAGTTGAGGTTAATAAGCCTAGGGATCTTACAATGCTATTAATTACTTCTGAAAAATCATGAATAAGACAGAAAAGTAATCGACATTGGATAGATTCTTTAACCCCCACAAACAGAAAAAACACGACTAATAAAAATGCAAGAACGTGTATATATGTATTTTTATTATTACATATGAATAAACGTAGTAAAAAGTATATACTTTTTTTATTTTTGGGGTCTCCGGAACGAATTAATCAAATTCCCATAGAAACCTATGGTAAATCGATAATCGGTTAACGAACAAAGTCTTGGAACGGATTATGTTCATTAACCGATCACCCACTGTAATTTTTAGATAAATCAGTGAAATAAAATATTTGGCAACTTTTTGCGATTTTGAATATCAGAGCACTTTTTCTACAGGTACCTGTAATGAAGTTTCTAACAAAAGCAATTATGAACTTGCTGCAGCAATCATGTTTGTATATTGGTAAATAAATATGTTGGTTGTCTTTATGTTTTGTGTATTCAGTGTGCTGTATTGGACAAAATGGTTATATGATCTGTGCTCGTCATCCTTTGAGTTATCTGGACTGCTGTGAAAAAAATTTGGTGGCCCCTGTTATAGAGAATAGACTTCAATAACTGAATGGATGAAGCATTAGACTGGTCTAAAGGACTTTATGATTCAGTCCAGGTCAATCATCAGAAATTTTCATGAGCAATTTGACCCAAAGTTGTTAAGCTCCATCTACTTCACAACTTAACTGTTCTATTATAAACCTGACTGAACAAATGGATATAAAAAACTTCTTTCTTCAGTGCTAAAGAAAGAAGATGATTTTATATATACAGTAATACCTCGACTTACACGAACCCGGAGTTACGCGATTTTCAAATCTCGTCGATTCGTCGTTTGTTTGAGCGCCACGCAACTCTTGATTACTCATTCCCTCCACACTATTGTTCAGCTTACGTGTTTGGACGTGTCGCGCGGAATTGACATATAGCTACAATTTATTTTGTGTTATTTATTTCTGTGTTTGTTATATCTATGGATACTTGAGAGACTCTATGTGGTGATTACTTGTAACTGTGAACGAATCAAAAGGCGAGATAAGGTTAACGAGAACATTTATTAGCTTACATACATCCGATTTGGATTTTACACAAATTGCGAAATTATACCCCGACTTACGTGAATTCGACTTACGCAGTTATTGCTCGGTCCCACCTATCGCGTAAGTTCAGGGTATTACTTACATGTAAAAAGAGTTTAAATTAAAATCCCTTTACTCCTATTACATGCAATTTTGCTTAAAATTCAATCTAAGAAATGAGACAGTTTCACACATTTAATCTCTGAAAATTTATTTGGAATTTCACACAATCTAATCAACATCAAGCATTGATCCTGTAAGATTTTTGGTTAAAAACAATCTTTCTCCACTTTCTGCCTCGTCTAATCATTTAATATAAATAAAACTGAAAAACTGGGCTCTGTCACGTTAGGCCAAAAATGGCCACTAGGGGTGCCCCTAGCTATTATTTAAATTAACAATATAAATTATTACTAGTGTTGCAACGAATAGTATATTTGGCCTGAGGCCGAATACAGAATATTCAGCCAGGAGCATGGCTGAATAGCCAAATATTCAGCTTGATTAAAGCATGTACAAAAATTGGTGCGCAAACTGCATTATGGCAAGGACCCTGCTCTCTATTGGCCCACTGTCACTACGCTTTGCCAATCGCGTTAATTCTTAACAGTTCAGACAAGAGCGTCATGGCAGTATGTGATAAGTGATAATATCAAATGTGGATAATAAGGATGCACCGATTAATCGGTAAGTAATCGGTAATCGGCCACTTAGCCGATTAATCGGTATCGGCCATTCCCCCGATTAATCAGTTTCATAATTGGCCAATTTTACATTTTGGTATTTTTGTTAGAATGTTACGTACAATGCTAGTAATAAAAACTAATAAATTTCTGTTATATATTTATTATTTATTCAGGGGTGCACAACCTGCGGCCCGCGGGCCACATACGGCCCCTTATCAATGTTTATGCGGCCCACCAGACGGTACAGGCCAAATCCCTTCTTTCCTAGTTTCTAAGTGTAGAACATTTCCCTTTCACAAAGTCATTAACACCCAACTGTTTTATAACTTTCCCTGAAGTGAGAAATGGGGAGTTAGCTAGAAATAGACCTATTTATAGAACAACACTTTCTGGTTTAGATATCGAATATTTTAAGTCTAATACATAGTATTATAACGATTTTTGAACAATCAAATAGAATAAAATGATGTTAGAACGTCATTTCCGATGTTATCAGGAAGTTTCTATTTTGGCGGGAAATCTTCAATTTTATGCTTCGGAAAACTTGCTTATTCGTCTAAATAGCGTCAAATAACAAAAATAAATGAAAATAGTGCTGAAAAACCATGAAAATAACTATTTTTTAGCATTTGTTTACATTCTAGATTCTGATTGGTATAGTCGAATTTGAATCAATCTTTTCTGAAAAGACGCTTATTCGTCAACCTAATGTCATTCAAACTAGAAAAAA